CCTTCCATACCTGAAATGCACTGGCTTCCAGCTTCTGACAGCCTAGGCCTGGACGTAATGCTCATGCACCTGGCTTCACAGTTTTCTGTCTCTGTCTTGCTTGCATCTGGCTGCAGCCTGGCTTTGACATTACGTTCAGTGACGGACAACACTGCCATGAGGGTGGTTGGGTAGTGGTGATGAGTGTGTTCCCCCTAGGCCAGGATCTCTCACCTGTTGGGTCCCTCACACAGGACCATGGATGCTATGTGCCTCCTGAGCAAACCCTCTCCCATCATCTCTGGGACAACAGGCCTGAAGCTGCTCTAAAAACACCATAGAAGTCATTATCACGTAGCTGGCACTGGGATGTGTTATTTAAGAAAGGATGTTCTAAATTAGTAATACATTTTTATAAAAGAAAAAAAAAACAACTCTTCAGAATGTTTTGAAAGCACCACTATAGTTTTAGCTGTTAACATTTAGGGGAAAAAAGTTAATATTTAAGAATATAAAATATCTAACATGCATCAATCCATATTCTTAGCAGTTCACTTACAAGGGTAGCTGGTGGGTATGGGAAGGTGTGAAAAGAAGGAATAATGATGAATAATGAGCAGAGAAGGGATTCAGTGTGTGTGCGCACAGGTATTAGGTGTGAGGGAAGGAGAAAATGATATTATAACTCTAATGATTTATTGGTGGTTACCAATAAATGTGTTAAGTGTCTTTCTCAGCTGGGGCAGTTAACTGTGACCAGCACAGGTAAGGGAAAAGCTATGCCTCAGGCCCCTTCCCCAAGAGGAGGCTCCAAGGAACTGTAGATGTGGCACAAAACATGCACCAGAGCCCAGGTTCTATGTTAATTATGGGAATGATTATTGAAATCATCTTTACATAAATTATTTTGCTTAGAAAAATAGCACTAAATGAAAAAAATCTAAGCTGCTCTGAAAAAAATATTTATTTTTTCATGCTCTATTGAGGTTGATGGAATAAAAAATGGGCAGGGGAGGTTCACCATGGAAAAGGAGGTATGCTGGTCCTGGGTGGTTTACTCAGGGATTCCATTCCTTATGGGTACCTGCTCTGCTTTGCCTTCTATCTCTGGCCACAGACTCTTCAGACTTGTTTGTCATCTCCCTTGCTACTGCTTAATGCTGAGCTCCTAACCTGGGTGGTATCAGCAAGAGAGAGGAGGGGTGGGGGGAGCAAGAGAGAAGCATGGTATTTCCCCAACACAGTCTTGGGCAGTAATTCTGGCACTGGCCACATCTTCCATTACTCTACATCCCACCAACCAGTCCAGCCATGGTTCAGCTTCCACCTATCCAGTGTCCTTAACACATGACCTTACCCTAGATCACTCCCATAGCTTCCTGTTGACTATTCTTTGGGTTGCCAAATCCTGCATTTGGAATTGTCAGCTCTACCATCAGCTGTATAACTAATCACCTGGATTAAATTCCCTCTGATCCAAAAGCTTAGAGAGCTTTGTATTTTCCTGTCTAGATACAGCCCCACCTGAACCTGGACCCTTAGAGCACCGCCATGACACACAAGAGATAAATGAAACTGAAACAGATACAACCAGTGACAATGAGGATGCACTAAAAAACCAACAAACAAATGAACAACGTGCCCAAGAGTCTAAGACAGCAGGTAAGACTGAGTGGCTGGGTTTGATATGTGTGGAGGGCAACTGGCAGGTGGAGGGATTTGGTATTGTGGGATAAGGCACAAGGAAGATTGTGGTGATGATTGAATGCTAGAAAGAAAAAATCTAAAGAAAGACAAAATAGATGTAGAAAAGGCATTCACAGTTCACAGGAATAATTAAGAAACAGAAATAGAAAAGAAGAAAATAGAAAACTTAACAGAGAATGGATAAACTGAAAAAATCCAGGAGGGCCACATGCAAGGAAGATCTCACTCTCAGGACCTTCTTGTGTTTTGGACACCTACAGTACTTCACCCTAGACACCAATGGGTCTGGGGTCTAGGGTGAAGTACTGTAGAAAATAAGTAAGAAGAGAGAAAAATGCAGAGGGCAATAATAGCAATAAATAGAAAAAATAGGGGGAGATACAAAGAGAACTATGTCGAGAAGGAATAAAGGACAATGAATGAAGACCTGGCAGAGGGTGAACCAGGTAGAGAGAGGGGGGGGGGTGGCAAGCATTGTCTGGTTTGAGAATCACCACAAAGAAGGCACAAAGGGATGTACCTAACACCATTAAGAAGGAAATGTGCCCACAAAATAAAAATGGCCCTGGAACCCATTCAGATAAAAATAGGCCTCTCCCCTGGACAGTAAAACATGTACAATTAAGAGAGGCACAAATTGCCTGGCATTGTGGTTCAGTGTCCACCCAGGAACCAAGAGGTCTCCGATTCCATTCCAAGTCAGGACACATGCCCAGGTTGATGGTTGGATCCCCAGTAGGGTTGTGTGCAGGAGGCAGCTGGTCGATTATGTTTCTCTTGCATCGATGTTTCTACTTCTCTATCCCTTTCCCTCCCCTTCTCTCTAAAAATCAATAAAAACATTAAAAAAGAGAGACACAAAGAAAGGACAGAGTTGAGGAGCAGGAAAGGACAGCAGTGGGGGAGCTTTCCTCTGCAATGGAATTAGAGGGAGAAGGGCTTGTTGATCAAAGTGAGGGTGCTCACTCCCTTAGGGAAGGCAAATGAAATTCTTCATTTATTACAATTTTGTCCAGGAGCAGAGCTACTCCACCAGGGAAACCAAAACACCTCCTGCTCTGTAAACCCAATGGGTACAAAGAAGGAAAAGTCATTTTTATATTCAGGAGTTGAATGTGAAGCCCAAGCAAGGACTGACCGTAACCAGGCGTCTGAAGTAATAGGTAAGGCTGACTGAAAGAACGTGTGATGTAAAACCCAGTATCAGGCAAGGGTCTGGGACATGTCATCAGTGCCCATGGAAGCAGTCCTGGTGACCTTGATTAGAGGTAGAAAGGGGAAGGAACAAGTGCCTTATACTTTGAGATCAACAGAAAAATGTCCCTAGTAATTGGAAAAAATATCCAAAACAGAAATGGGAACTTTAAATATTGATATCAGAGAGTATATTTCAATATTCAAAGAAAGGGAGGTATTGCAGTAAGGGTTAAAGAAAAGGGAATATTTCAGAGAGACAAGATATTCATGAAAGGATATGAAAAAAACACACACACCCAAACGAAGACAAGGAAAGGCATAAAGAGATACCTTTGCCAGAAACAGGCATATGTAGCAAAAATGAATTGAACCAAGAGACTTTGCTTGGGGAGATGTGCAATTGATGCAGTGTGCAAACCAATAAATTACATTTAAAATGATAATAAATAAATAAAAATATTAAAAATATATAATTTGATGCCATTTCTAAAGCTTGGCTTTATGTATGTATACTTCTCTCTGAAATAGCTTTCTAGCTTAGTAAATATTTAGATATGTTTGAAATGATGCAAAGAAAGAATAAAGAGGTAGACTGAGGGTGGAGATAATAGAAAGAGAATGGAGGTAAGAGGTAAAGTGAAGATCTGAGTTGAGGTAGAATGTGGATGGGGATAGCAGGTTGAGCAAGCGCGGGGGGGGGGGGGGGGGGGGGGGGGAACTGCCCCTTGTTGAGAACCACAGTCCTAGAAAAAGTGCTGCAGGATGGGCAAAGCAGCCCTCTGCGCATGAACTTCACAACCTTCTGGGTAGGACCTGGAGCAACCTGCAGGTCACGCACATCAGAGGGACCTGAGATAACTTGGCTTCTAGGTCTTCCTAGTAATCTCATGAATGGTTTCCAACCGGGGGCTATGTGGCCCCACCCCCAAGACACTAGGGTTTTTTTCTTCTTCTAATATTTGCAGTGATCAACAGTCAGGACTTTGAAGAATTTATTGATGAAGATGAACCTCCCAAAGGTTCCACCTCAGCATTGAAAAGGAAGCCAGGTGAGGAGGTGGGAGTTCAAGGCTTGGGGTGCAGGAAACTCAATTAAGAGGCATTGTTTCCTGAGGCATCAATTCTGAGTTCATCCTATACCACAGACTCTGTTTATCCTGGAATCCCATTCTCTATGTTTATTTTACCTGACCTTTGGGAGGTGCAAGGTAATAAATCATTATATTTATATTTTAAAAATATGTGGCCTATTAATCCATAGGTCTTATAAATCAACCAATGCACCCATCCATTGATTATATACTAGTAATAAGCTAGCGAAGTAGTGAATTTATTTTAAGACTAATTCTGTGACGATAAAGTGTTGAGTTTATACAGTGATTTCTACAGAGAAGAGAAAGCTAAATATTTCTTTATTAGAAGGTCATATTGTCATCTAATCACAAAGTTTGAATAGTGTTGAGGGTCAATTCCTCCAGCTCTCCTGTGTTAGCAGAAATGGATAAGGTTTTTTCAAACCCAAACTGTTGTTTTTTAGAGAGTTCTCCAGCAAGTCAGGACATATAGAATGACTTTTCAAAGTATCTTTGCAAATAGTGTGTTACCTTTTACTTTACAACAGCCTTGAGGAGTGAGCAAGAAGGCCATTATTACTCTTGTTTCTAGATGAGAAAACAAAATCATATAAATGTTTCAAATCTTCCACAGAGTCTCATGGAGAAAGGGAAAGACAAGACTAGCTTCCTGGATTTCGTGTTATTTCATTTGTACTTCTGGAACTCAAAACAGTTATCAAAATGTTGTTTCCTCAATTCCTTCAGTTAATAGAGAGTGCACATTGTTACTTGAGGCTTAGTGTAGGCAAAGTGCTCTGAAAAGTGGTCCCAAAGCAGGGCTATGGCTCAGACACCAGAGATTATTTCACGGAGTACCAGGGGGTAGAAGAGGCTCCCTACCAACAAGTTTCTCAACATGAGATTTCCAAGGTCTCCCCACAAAGAAACAGCAGATGAAGGAAGTATGAAATGGCTATAGAAGAAAAGAGGTAGAACAGAGAGAAGTGTAGGAAGGAAAAGTTCAAACGGAGCACAGGGGTTCTTGTCTCTTCTATGGGGACATGAAATAGAGCATCACTAACCTACAAGGCAGGTGATATAAAGGGACAGACCAGGTGACCTGTGTGCAGGCCATGGTATACATGGGCTTTTTTTTTTTTTTTTAAATTTAAGTTATATTAAGAAATTCTATGCTGCATTAGTTCCCTGGTCACACAGTGAGACACCTAAGAATCCTACTCTTGAGGACTTGATCCCTTAGACTCTAAGGCCTAGAATCAAACAGAGAGGAGAGAACCAAGAATACACCTGTTCATAACTATAAACAGTAGTAGATAAGATTGTATTTCTGGACAAATATCCAGAGTCTAAATCCAGAGCTCTGTTTTCATGATGAATCTTTTTCGGAGGTTCTCTATAAGCATTGATTCATTACTTCTGGGATACCATTTTAAGCATTTAGCTATTTCAATTGTATTGGAATATGGGAGGAGGCAAGAGGCATTATAAGTGATTGTTTGACTGGATGAGCACAATCAATTGATATATTGAAAAAGAAGCAATAATGCACTAGTAAGTAGCAGTCATTTTTACTAAACACTATCATTTATTAATACCAAAGAGTTTTTATTCTATAAGCAGAGTGAGCACAATATTTCAATGACTGGAAGAGGAATATAATCATCTCAACACTGACATTATCACAAACCCTATCTGCTGTGTGAGTTGTCGTAGACTCTGTAAGACCACTGCAAACAAATACAGTTCTCTCCCTTTTACTTTATAGAGTCCATGGGTTCCAGAAAATCACCAACCTCTGGACAAATACCTTGCAAAACAGGTAAGAGCAAGCAAATAAGAACTTTTCATGGTGACAACTGAATAGTGTTTACTACAAAAAATGCATTCTAATTTTTACTTCTTCATTCATAGCAAAATAAATATTTGTGTTAATATAAGTTCATATTTTAACTTTTGCATTAGTTAGGCTAATGGCTGTGACAAATAAACCTAAAGAGGCCAATCGCTCAAACACAATACAATTTCAATATTTTTATCAAGTAAACTTTCCAAACAATTTTAGAAAGGGGGGGCGGGTGGGTGAGAAAGGAACTTTATTTCACAAAGTCATTCTGGGAAGCATACAACTGAGAGATCTACCGTCTGCAATACCAGATTACTAAGACCACCTTGGGAAAGAAGCAGAGCTAAAATATAATACAATTACAGACATGAACACAAATCCATAAGCTACATGTAAAAGGAGAAATTGAATGTAGTACATAATACAGGACCAAAAGAAAACAGAGAAACTTTGGCCAGAGTGGCTCAGTTGGCTGAGCATATTCCCATGCACCCAGGGGTCGGTGGTTTGATTCCCCATCAGAGCATATGCCAGGTTTCCGGGCTTCATGCCCAATAGAGGTGTGTGCAGGAGGCAGCTGAACCATGAGGTTTTCTCTCATTGATATTTATATATATCTATTCTCTCTCCTTCTCTCTCTCTCTCTCTCTCTCTCTCTCTCTCTCTCTCTCTCTCTTTCTCTCAGTAAATCAATAAAAATATGTTGTTGTTATTTTTAAGAGAGGAACAGAGAAAGGACAGGGTTAGCAGCAGATGGGGGAGTTTTCCCCTGCAGTGGAATTACAGGGAGAAGGGCTTGTTGGTTGCCTGAGGGTGCTTAATCCTTTAGGGAGGCAAATGAAATTCTTCATTTCTTATAATTCTGTCCAGGAGAAGAGCTACTCCACCAGGGAAACCAAAACACCTCCTGCTCTGTAAACCCAGTGGATATAAAGGAGGAAAAGCCATTTTTATATTCAGGAGTTGAATGTGAAGCCAAAGCAAGGAATGACTGTAACCAGGCGTCTGACGTAATAGGTAAGGCTGACTGAAAGAATGTACCAGACAAGGTTCTGAAACATGTCATCCGGGCCCTTGGAGACAGTAATGATGGCCTGGGTTAGAGGTAGAAAGGGGAGGGAACAAGGGCCTTATATGGCGAGGTCAACAGAAACACGTCCCCAGTAATTGGAAAAAATATGAAAAACAGAAATGGTAAATTTAAGTCTTGATATCAGAGTGTATGATCCTATATTGAAAGAGAGGAAGGTATGGGAGTAGAGAAAATTTTCAGAAAATAAAGGTATTCATGAAAGGAGATGAGAAAAACATACACACACAAAGAGAAGGAGAGGAAAAAAAAGAGACACTTTTGCCAGAAATCAGCTTAATTGCCAAAAATGAGCCAAACCAAGAGACTTCATTTGGGGTGATGGGTGATTGATGCAGTGTGGAAATGATGTCTTATTCAGTTGTACACTTGAATCCTATAAAGTTCTGTGAACTAATATTATCCCAATAAATTGAGTTAAATATAAAAATAATAAATACATTAAAATTAACAGTATATAATTTGATGCCACTTTTAAAAGAGAGGCTTTATGTAGGTATACTTCCCTTTGATCCCTCTATCTAGCTTAATAAATATTTAGATATGTTTGGAATGAATCAAAGAAAGAGATAGAACGAGGGTGGAGATATCAGAGAGTGGAGGTAAACGATAGAGTGAAGATGGGAGTTGAAATAGAATGGGCGTGGGGATAGCAGGTATAGTGAGGGTGGGCATAGAAGTGTGCTTCAGGTTGGGCAAAGCTGCGCTCTGTGCATGAACTTCACAACCTTCTGGGTAGGGCCTGGAACAACCCGAAGGTCACACACATCAGCCACACACCAGAGGGACCTGAGTTAACTTAGCTTCTATGTCTTCCTACTGCTCCCATGAAGGGGTTTCCACAGAGTGGTCTCCCTGGCCCCACCCCAAGACACTGCGTGCTTTTTTCTTCTTTGTGCAGTGATCGACAGTCAGGACTTTGCAGAATTTACTGATGGAGATGGACCCCCTGAAGCTTCCACCACAGCATTGAACAGGGAGCCAGGTAAGGAGGTTAGTAATAAGCTAGCGAAGTAGTGAGTTTATTTTAAAACTAATTCTGTGACTATAAAGTGTTGGGTTTATACAGTGATTTCTACAGAGAAGAGAAAGCTAAATATTTCTTTATTGGAAGGTCATATTGTCATCTAATCACAAAGTTTGAATAGTGTTGAGGGTCAATTCCTCCAGCTCTCCTGTGTTAGCAGAAACGGTTAAAGTGTTTTGAAACCCAAAATGTGGTTTTTTAGAGAGTTCTCCAACAAGTCATGACATATAGAATGACTTTACAAAGGATCTTTGCAAATAGTGTCTTACCTTTTCCTTTACAACAAATCTGAGGAGTGAGCAAGATGGCCAATATTACTCTTGTTTCTAGATGAGAAAACAAAATCATATAAATGTTTCAAATCTTCCACAATGTCACATGGAGATAAAGGGAAAGACAAGACTAGCTTCCTGGATTTCGTGTTATTTCATTTGTACTTCTGGAACTCAAAACAGTTATCAAAATGTTGTTTCCTCAATCCTGTGTATAGCATGAGTGGTCATCAGATCTGCAGCACTTTAGTGTACAAAGTGGTTGCTTTTCTCTTCCTCCTTTCCCAGAAGGATTAGAGACATGTCTTTTGAGCTAAACCCACTAGGAAAAGAGAAAAACACAAATAAAGATGTTACCTAGTCTTGATGTTACAATAAGACAACATTTTAAATAATATTTTTATTCTAATAGCTCTCAATATCTATCAATGTAAAACACAAGTTTCCTTCAATTAATATAGAGTGCACATTGTGACTTGTGGCTCAGTGGAGGCAAAATGCTCTGAAAAGTGGTCCCAAAATAGGGCTATGGCTCAGACACCAGAGATTATTTCAAGGGGCACCAGGGGGTAGAAGAGGCTCCCTACCAACAAGTTACTCAACATGAGATTTCCAAGGTCTCCCCACAAAGAAATAGCAGATGAAGGAAGTGTGAAATGGCAATAGTAGGATAAGAGGTAGAAAAGAGAGAAGTATAGAAAAGTAAGAGGTAAGGTTCAAACAGAGCACTTGTCCTTGTTGCCATTGATTTGTCTCTGCTATGGGGAAAGAGAATGGAGCATCACTAACCTACATAGCAGGTGACTTAAAGGGGTAAACCAGGTGTCCTGTTTGCAGGCCATGGCATACATGGTTTTTCAAGATTTTTCATTTTGTATTAGGGAATTCCATGCTACATCAATTTCCTGGGTGGGCACACACTGAGACATCTAAAGATCTTATTGCTTGTCCAGTGATCAATAAACTAGATTCTTTAGACTCAAATAAAGGAAGAGAGTCCCAAGAAGCCACCTATTCGTGACTCTAAACTGTATCACATAAGATTGTATTTCTGGACAAATATCCAGAGTCTAAACCTGGAGCTCTGTTTTCATGATGAATGTGTTTCTGAAGTTCTTTTTATTCATTGATTCATTACTTTGGGGATATCATTTTAAGCATTTAGCTTTATCAATCCTAATGCTATATAAGAGGAGGCAAGGGTCATTTTAAATCAGTGGTTCTCAACCTTCTGTCCCTTTAAATACAGTTCCTCATGTTGTGACCCAACTAGAAAATTATTTTCATTGCTACTTCATAGCTGTAATGTTGCTACTTTTATCAGTCATAATGTAAATATCTGATATGCAGGATGGCCTTAGGCGACCCCTGTGAAATAGTTGTTCAACCGCCAAAGGGGTCGGGACCCACAGGTTAAGAACCGCTGTTCTAAATGGTTGTTTGACTGGATGAGCATAATCAATTGATATATTGAAAATGTAGCAATA